GCCTTCATGATGTTCTAATATGAATTCCTCTAACTCCTTTGGCATAATTCCTCAGCTTTTTTTTTTTTTTTTTTAAAAAGCAAATAAAAAAGGAAATCTTTTAAAGCATGATGACAACAGTAAGTGCAAATAAGAGGTCATATCAGAAAGATCACAGAATCACAGAATGTTAGGGATTGGAAGGGACCTCGAAAGATCATCCAGTCCAATCCCCCTGCCGGAGCAGGAACCTAAATGAGATCACACAGGAAGGCGTCCAAGTGGGTCTTGAATGTCTCCAGAGAAGGAGACTCCACAACCTCCCTGGGCAGCCTGTTCCAGGGCTCTGTCACCCTCACTGTAAAGAAGTTCCTTCTGAAATTTAAGCGGAACCTCCTGTGTTCCAGCTTGCACCTGTTGCCCCTTGTCCTACCGTTGGGCATCACTGAGAAGAGCCTGGCTCCATATTTTTTACATTCGCCCTTAACATATTTATAAACATTAATGAGGTCATGGAGAGGAGTGGATTTCCTAATTAATGTCTTTGACTGTCAGGAACTTTATGACTTTCAGAATTATGTGTGCAACAAAAATTCTCTTGTGTCTCCAATACTCATTTAGGCTTCATGTTTACAATCATTTTAATAATTATGTGCTTGCTTTTAAGTTGCAGGTCTTGGCTTCATGGTCATTCTCAATTTCATTATCAGTTTTGAGCCCTTACTCTCTCATTTTACTTCTGCCTTATGCCTTACATATTCAGCCTTTTGGTAGGTGGAATTTATGGGTGTGGAAACTCAGGAAAAACATATGGTCCCCATTTGCTTGTTCCAGAATGCCTCACAATTCATTTTAAGCAAAGCTCCCACTGATAATGATAAGGGATTATGCCTTGATGCTTTCACAACTGTGAAAGTCAAACACAAGAAAGGTGAAGTAAATGCAGCAGTGGAATTGCACTAAATATTCAGGGATTGCCTTCAGTGATTTCTCTTTAGCAGTTTTGTTTTGAATAAAAGATATGTTGACATTGAATCTGTTTAATTGCCTTGCAGAAGTGTGACCTGAATTTTCATACAAACATCTTTTTTCATGCAAAGTGGAAATCTTATGCTTGTCAAAGAAACCCACAATGTATTGCTTTGTTTTGAGAGTCTGAGTTCACATTTTTCAGGGATACAAATCTTTAGCAATGCAGCTTACTATCTCTAAATTAGCAGTATGTATTATGAGTAGTTTGAGAAACTCTGAGCCAAGCTAATTTCTGACATAACTAGGGACAACTGCAGTCTATATCCAAGATCTTTGTAGCAGGAGAGCAAAGAGAAAAACTGGCTATGCTTTCCTTCTATGGCAGCCTGGGACACTGTGCTTAAAAGGCAGAAATAAGTGTTTCACCATAGACTATATCTACAGTACTTAGTGGGTGAACATTGAAAATAAAATTAGTAATTAGGTATATAATTTGAAATTACAAATAATGTAGCACTGCTGACTAACAACATTATTTTTTCTGTTTACTTTGATATGGTGTGACACCTCCATACACAGTAAAGAACAGTAGGTAACAAGGCAAATGTTGTAATCCTTCAGGAATGTCAGACAGGATTAACAGGAACTGTATGTTCTCTTCTGCTGTAAAAATATGCAGAAGGGAACAAATTAATTCAGTGACTGTCACTGTTGGGGATCAGGAGTTAAGCTGCAACTCTGCAACCTCTTTGTTTCATGTGACCAGCAGGGATGCAGGTACTGGCTGTCAGCTAGTCTGTCTGCTATGAGGTCCCCATGGGAATCGCATAGCATGTTCATGAAACTGGAATTATCAAATTTTAATAGTGCTGGATGTAGGGGCATTTTTTCAAGCAGTCTTTATCACAGTATTTCAGATTTCCAATTCCCTTTAAAATCAGTTTATTTTAAAAACTGAGTTTTTCCAATACAATTTTTTTTCAAAAAGTATTTCAATTCACTTTAAGTTTACTTAGGGTTGTATTGAACAGAATTTTGTTATAACAGGAAAACTCAAAAATAAGTACCAAAGAGCAGATTTAATGCAAATTTTACAGCAGAAGCCAGTGCAATGTATTGGAGGCAGACTGTATAGAAACAGACCTTTCATGTTACTGAGCAGCACTGACTCAAGTAATTTTGAAATCCACAAAATAATTCATGTGAATATGTGCAGTTGATGTGTGTGGAAAAATATTGAAAGATCATGAGGTGCATCAGCTTAAAACGAAATAATTGGACAGCATTTGTGCATTTAATTGCTTAAACTGTTTCATAAACATGAAGAGAGACTATTTCCAAAGAAAACAGTGCTACCAAACTGTTAAGTATCTATTTGTTAATGATTACACTCTATGAAAGGTCGTATGCTCAGAAGCTCAGTTGTAAAACTTCACATAAAAATTGTGAGTTAAATTGTTCACAAATTCCTCAGACAAATAATTTAAAAATTATTCCCTTTGCTTAGTTTTTCTCTACCCTGTTTTGTAGACCTGCATTAATTATTATATTTATATGTACATATTTACATATATGCCAAACTTGAAGAAAAAGCACTTTAAGAAATGAAGTGTAAAGCAACATCTGGAGAAAAAAGTTGATTTCATGCAAGATGATATCACACATAAAAATAATAGTAGCCCTAAAGATCTGTAGATCTCTGCATTCCATTCTTTTCTCTGCCCTACTAGAATATAGTAATGCAATATATTCAGATCTATTTAATAATTTAATTAGTTTAGGTCTCATACCACCTGATAAAGTGAATAAATACATTTTGTCTGATTTCACAAGTGACAGGATAGTGGTTAAATTAAGTAACAACGCTAAAGCAAATCAACATCAGCACTGGTATCAAAACGATGTTTGTGGGACAGCATTATGAACAATTCCTTAGATTATATGTTTTGAGATTTTTATTTTTATTTGGATGTGTAAGTATTTGAATGTCTGACCTGGGGAATGTTAAAAGAGCGTAGTTTCCAAAGCTCCTGCTGATTAGGTACTGTCAAGGTTTATTATGTTTTCCAAATGAAGAGGCACCAAATTTGAAATCACCTTAAAAAGGCTGAATTTTAGATTTCAGCAGTTCTTCTACATCTCTCTTTAGCAAATTACTTATTTGAAGCCAGTGACTTGTGAATTTTCTAGGAGGTAAGGCACTGCCATTTCTGTAATCTGTGTTTCGCTGTCCTGCAGAATTTTTTGCTTAATCACTGTTTGAGTTTATGAAGCACATGCAAAAACGTGTACATTTCTTGAATGTCTGCTGGTTCCTTATCTCTGTGTCTTTTACTGTGATGTTGTAGAGCTTGGATCATATGGAAACCTAAAATATTATGACACAATGACTGAAGAAGGTAAGAAATATTTTAGAATTTTTCGTATCAGCTTTTTTTGAAGCCTTTTAAGCGCCTTGTATGTATTTACCTTTTCCTCCATTTTTCTTAGTCCTATTTTCAGTTTCTCCATTTTTGAATAACTCCTTTTTGCATGTTTTCATTGACGGCGCAATCAGTTATGGCTCTTTTTTCAGGATTTTGTTTTCAGCATTTCAGTTTTGCTATTTCAGATAAGGAAATACAATGGAATGCTTTTGTTAAAGTACATACATGCAAAACCACACTCAAATTATATGGCACAGTATAACAGATTGCTTATTATATGCCGTATTTTACAATTCATTCAAGAAGATTAATTAATTTATGGATGTTCAAATCACTTAGTTTGAGAAAAATTATCAAATGACTTAATTTTACTGTATTATTCAGAAGTAATGAATAAACTTTAAAAACTAGGCAGACTATTCCTGGAGTATTAATTGTATGCTTAACTGCAATGCAAAAATTAAGCAATTCAAAATCCTGGTTCTAGCAATACAAGAAAGAAGTAAATAGGACCTGAATCTGAATGAAATCTTGGAAAAATTTTCTACTGATTCAAAAGCATTGCAGTTTATTATACTAATTCAGGAAAGCAGTTAACTGTGTACTAGATTTCCAGCACATGCTTTCAGTCCTAGTGCAGTCAGCATTTCTATAAATTGGAAATATCCCTGAACTGAGACCTGATTGTGTGTAGGATCAAGGCCTCTTGTCCAGCTCCCTGATTATAATACCAGGCAGATGGTTTCATGAATGTTCAGTTTAGTAATTAGTCGCGTGTTTGAGGATGGAGCCTGTGGAAAAGTTAGCTGCCTATTTCTTCTTACTTTTAATGTTGGGAATATAAGACAAATAGCTTAAAAACACAGTTATTTTCTAGTTTAGATTCATCTTGAAGTTAAAAAGGTTTTAAGAAAACTTTAATTATATGACTTACTCATGATCATTTCCCTGGGGGGGAGGCGGGGGGGAAGAAGTGATAACTTAGGACTATTTCCCATTTTCTGTATCTGCTGTTGATAATCAAATATAACCACACTATTCTGGGGCTGGCTGTAGGAGATGATATTGGAAGATGCTGTTTACTTCTGTAGCAGGTGTGAGCACTAGCTCATAGGTCAGTCTTGCTGCACTGCCCTCCATGGCCCAGATTCACCATCTGATTCACAATATAAGAAAAGAGGAGAGGAGTCTGAGAGGAGATTTTTACTGGGCAGTGATGTCTGTGTTCTTTAAATACACCTCTCAAGCACCTGAAATGAGTTTTTAACCCAGGCCATTCAGATACAGCTACCAGAGATAAAGCTTTTGCAGTGTATCTCATCTCAGTCTTCATTACAATCAAGATGTGAAGGTCATTTCTCATTGTAGGCTCAGAGCTGAGTATGTTAAGGTTTTTCTTTTTTATGCTGAAGTATTAAATCTACCAATTTAAAAATAATCACTTCATTAGTAATCTTCCGATATTCTTAAATACTCTATTGACAGTAAAATGTAGCTATTTGTGGGAAAATATCAATGCAACTATGATACATACAATATATGTAAATATTAATGCTGTGCCTATGCAGAAGTAATGCTGTTAATATTCAATATCATCTCTGAAATCACTCCTCATGAATAAATAATCCAAGACCATACTGTAGCAATAGCATAAATCCAGTAGCAAAAATCTTCCAGATAAGAAAGGAAGCTCTTTGTCTTTAGGAGTATTAACACTGACAAGTGTCTGTGATACAGTTTATCTTCTCAAATACAACTGTCATCGTCATTTTCACACATCCTTCACAAAGCAAGTAGTGAATAGTGTATCCCAGAAGCTGTATTTAGAGCAAAGTGTGCTATATTTTGAACTTTCTGTTTGGATATTCAAAAATTATAATCACTATCAGTCTGTATTACACTTATTTGCATTATCTGTCTTCCTCCTTCTCTTCCTGTTTTGAAAGAGCTTTTTATACATTTTGTAGAGAAAGTTAGCCACAGGAACATGTAAACCCAGTTACAAATCCATGGATTTTTTATATATATACTAGAAGCTTATCTCCAGGTCCTCAAATCCTGAGTGGAGCTACGTAGCAAATCTTTCAGTCCTCCAGTGGAGAAGCACAGGTATATCTGTAGTTGCTGCTGCATCAGAACAGAGACAACAAGTGATGGTTGGTTCACAAGACACAATCAAATACAGCCTTATGGCCAGAGGTCCATTGTGCTCCAGGTCTTAGAAACTGATGTCTATTGTTTTGTTTGCTCCTATTTGGTCTGAAAGTGGCTTTAAATTGATTGCAGATTCATTAGGCCCAACTGGGAGAGAAATACACCCTACCAGATGGGAAGAGACCCTCACAGTAATCTTGTGCTGTAAAGTAACCTCCACTAACAGCCTGCAACATGACAAAACTGTATATATTTTCATTTGATTCTTCTGTCGGATTTTAAAATTAAAGGAGAAAGCACATGAGGTGAATTTCTAGGATTGATTAGTTGTGACCCACTAGTTGTGTTCCACAACTGACCACAAGCAGGACTGGTAGTTACGGTTCAGACTGCTCAACAGCCCCACATTTGACATCTTCAGACTTATGAAAGTTTGGCTATAGCTGCACAGATGTAGTCATTTGCATTTGGTCAGAGACTGAAAACTAACCAAATGATAAGAGTCTTGAATTTTTTAATTGAGTTAATTTCCAAAGATAAACTATTTTCCTATCAAATCAAAGGCTTTTCTGATTGGCTTTTTAATATAACCTTGATCAGGAAGAGAATCTCTGCCAGCTGATACCAGCTGGAGTTACTCATGCAGATCAAGGTATATCTATATTATACAATACTGATTTTTTTGCATATATCGCATATATTCAAATAAAACCAATTCAGTTTTAAGCTACCTTCTTTGCTAATAATCTGGCCTTGATTTCCTGTTCTTTCTACCCCATCCTTTGTAAACTAAAATGAGCTGCAAAATCTGACCAAGTTCAGTGAATCTAGATTAATTAAGAATTTTCTATAAAAATCTATCCTGTTTTGGGTCCGTGGAATCAAGCGATTTCATTTACCTAAACTGTTATTGTACCAGATGGTGTGAAAAGTACTCTGAGGTAGTCAAACCCGTAGTATATAGGAGTGTTAAAGAAGAAACATAAGCTCCTACCTGCTCCTAGAAATAAGAACAGTAACATAAAATTCCTATGGATTATTTTGGCAGCCCCAGCTAAAGATGAGGAAAAAGGCATGAGAGAAGATCTGTGCCTAAGATGAAATTTTTGTGGATTTCTGTCGATTTGAATGACTTAGGAATAGCCTGAGCTGGTCCTTTTTCCTAGTGGCTCTCTGATTCCCCATCTGATTCCCCATCTCTGAACAGATTTTGATTTGGTTTGAAGGAGGAAAATAGCAGGCAAAGGGAGGGCAGAGGCATAGCTCTGATCTCTTTTTATATCTCACAGTCTTCATGCAGGCTAGTGCTACTGCTTTCCTCAGTTTCATGCTTTTGATAGTCGATATTTTGTCTTTTAATAATTTCCTCACACTGTTTGTTACCTACACTGAGTTAATCAAATGGAAGGTAATGATGTAAGCCAGTGTAAGCTGAACCATGCATGTACTGAGAAATAAAAATAACAAAAATAAAGTTTTAATTTCAAATATTGAGGTTAATTTGCATTTCCATGATAGTGACTTGTAACTCTGAACAGTCTTCTGAATGAAGCAGTGTAATTTAAAATGTTGAAAGTCAATGTAATAAATTCTTCCTGAAGATTGGAGGAGGCTTTGGAATTGTGAAAAAAATAAAATAAAATTGAAAGCAACTTCAATTAAGCTTATCTAAAATAGTGTGAATCTCTGTGGAGACATTTTGTTTTCAGTTCAATAATGACACAGGTTTCTCTATTAAAAAAACCTAAACAGTCTCAAACAAAAGACTAGAGTAGCCTTATAGAATTCTGAATCACTTTAATAAAACTTTTGAAATTTAACCTTAAATTAAAATGTCCTACATCATCTTGGAGTAGGTGGAGACAGATGGTTCCACAGATATTTCTCAGAAAATTTCTCAGCTGCATCATTTGCATCACTTGCAAAAAATGCATTTTTGTATTTGGGGCAGCACAAGCCAAATCCTCAAACATATGAAGCTGAGTTTGAGTCTGAAACCCAAAGCAATCCTTTAGCAAACTGGCATACGTGTTGTATGAAAATTATGTGTGCACCTTTCAGTATCTACACATGCTTCTGGATAAGCACTTTCTAAATGCCCGTAGTGTGTCAAAAGAGGTTAGGAACAGACTTGACTCAGCATTTCAGCTTAAAATATTTGGAAATATGATTTGCATTTTTGCCTTTGTTTTTTCTGTCTCTTATCTGGTATCCCAAGCAATTGCCTTTCTCTTTGTCTCTCTTCTGCTTTCTTTAGCTCTTTGTTTCTTCTTCCCCTTCTAACTAAAATCTCTGCTGCTGACCCTGTGCACTGAAATAATGAGTTGGCTTGCTATTTATGATTGTGTTCTCCTCTTAGATACACTTCTACAGGCAATTTTACTCTAGGTACCATGTACCAATAAAGATAATCTTTGCAATATAGTGTGAATAGCTAATTCTTTTTTTGGAGTACGGTGTGTTTGTGAAAAGATAGGGGCTCCTGAAGGGAGAATACTGTTTATTAAATCTTTGTGGTATTTTTATTACTTTCCAAGTGATTTGCTGTTGACAAATTAATTCCACTTCCCAGCACATGGTAGCTGCTAGTCCCTGTGGACTGTGCATATGCTTCTTCACATACAAAAGTGTTGGTACTGTGGTTTGAAGCTTCCATTTGTGAGAAGGGAAGAGAGAGTTTCTTTCTTGACTAATGGTTTATTCTCATGTGTCTTATTTTAGCTTGGAAACAGTGACTCTCTGTTACCCAACTAACTCAGTTCATTCATTACTTCTCACTGTTACTTCCCACTGCTAATCAATTATGTGATTCCACTGGAATATCTTTTGGTCTTAAGCCTCCACTGTTTTTGCTGTGGTGGCACCAACAGTGTTCAATAGACTTTTTTAACTGGAGATCAAGAATTAAAACAGTCATGGGCCTTGTCTGGTAATAGAGTTAATTAGAGGTGTACTGTACTATAGCCAGCAGTTACGCATTAAAAAAAAAAAAAATAAAAAGTCTTAAAGAACAATAGCAGTGAGGATAACAATAAGGAAAAGCAGATACACCATCTTTCTACACAACATAGACTGTCATAAGCTGTCCAAAGGAAGATCACCCAATGCAGAGGAAAGATTAATTTAACTTAATATTCGCCATCTTTGACATTGCCTAGTTTGAACGTGTCATTTGGACTTAGTGGTCAATGAAGAGTGACAGGACCTGGGACCTCTCTTAGGATGGGATGAGTTGCCCTGGAGAAAGTCTAGATGATCAGCTGCATTATTAACCTCATGGGAGACAAAAACCACCTGGCAGATTGAGAAGAGAATTTACCTTTGATAAGTTGGTATGGAAATGATGTATTCTGGACATTTCTTCTTCCCTTCTGAAGTATCTGTACAAGTCACAGACACATAGCTGAGTGCAAAGTGACAAAGTTGACCACAGGCACCATGATGCAACATATGTGCTCATGTGAAAGTCTGTGTTACTGTACTGCACATGAGACCTGAAACTGTTTGTGTTTGTTTATAATATCTTTATTATTCATCTTCTGTTTAGGCTAAAATCCTACACCAGCACTTTAATAGGTGTACTTTACAGAATGCTTCTGAAAAAAAATAGCTTTTGTTTTGCATTTCTTGTTCAATTTGTTGCGAAGTTCTGAGCACAGAAAAAAAATACTTCTTTATTTCCACTCAAAAGAAAAAAAAATACATGAGACCATCAGATAGTGTTTAATAACCTTTGCTGCTTGAGGAGGGATGGAAATGGATTTTCAGCACTGATTCATGGAGCTGAAGCTATGGTAAAGAAACTTTGCTTCTCAAAATGGCTGCATATAAATAATGACAATGCTTTTTTTTTAGGAAAGTTCAAGGAGAGGGCCTCAATTCTGCATAAGATTGCCAAAAAGAAATGCCAGGTGGAAGACAGTGAAAGGCAGAATGGAGCTGCTAATCATGGTGAGTACAGCAGTGCAGTCCTGCGGACCTTTTTCACTGTTTTATTTTGTTTTAAAATCCTTAGGGTTTAATTTCATTTATACTATCTTAGTAAAAGTATTCTGATTCCCTATACAAAAGAGTATGAAACCTATGGATGGGACAGGAGTTAGGTGCAAGAGGAAGTCAGTTAAAGCATGTAGGAGGCCTCCTGGCAGGGTTGAAAAGAAAAAAGCAGTGCTGGTTTTGGATATGTGTTAAAGTGACAGAAATAGAGACACAAAACTTAGTTTCAATTTCTATGTGAAAATTTAATAAATGTATTGAGCTGCTGTAGTAGAATGTGTTTTATGTGGTCTCACCCTTAGCACAAAGGGAAACAACCTTCATATTTAAGATTTTATTTGTCTGGTTCTTGCTGAGAGTCATTTAGACCCACTTATGCTAATTGTGCAAAATTAGCTTACTATGGGTTTCTGTTAAAGGTAAGAATTTGTATTTTAGTTCAGAAGTTCTTATATTTTTATTATTCCTTTTATTAAAAAAAAAATCCATGCTATGTCCTATTTTCTTTACTTTACCTCAACATGTCTTTGCGTTAGAAAACCAGATACAAATGTGTCAGATAAAAGCTCAATCATTTTATCAGTTGACACTTTTTCTGACCTTTTGCTATATTTAAATGCTATTTGCTTCCAGAATAAAGCAGTTGGATGGGACACTCTGTTAATAAACCATAATGCTGGCTGTTGGGTTAAGAGACAATACACATGCACTGAAATAATTACAGATAGTCTGGCACTCTGCTGTGTCTGTGATCTCAGGTTTTTAATTTAGAAGAATCTCAGGATAGCAGTAATGTAACTAGACAGCTGTATTTACTTCTGTGCACAAGAGCATACCATAAGGCATGTTGAACTCGAGTTAGACATTTCATCTTGCTATTCCCCATAACTTTATATTGTCCAAGGAATTTTTGGCCATTGACATTTTTATCTAGTACATGCTTAAAGAGATAATTACTGTTTAGAGAATTCCAAGATAGTCAAAGTAAGAATAAATTTGAATAAATTTGGCATCAGAAACCAAAAAGGCCATTTTATTCCTCTAATTCCTGTAAAATTTTAGCACAAGGGTTACAGCATTCTGTTTCAAAAATCATCCTGTTACTAGATGTTATTAGACCACCCACTTACCCTTTTCCTACATTTTTGCATGAGAAAGAGCATGATTACAGCTTGGAGGTAACTTTACTAATTGCAAGGGTTAATGTGTTATAAAAGTTATATCTTGTTAAATATATCCCCTCACCTGAAAATGAAACATGTTGCATTATTTGACATCTGGGAAGAACTATATGTCACTTTTTACCTGAAGAATTAGACACAGTGACTTTAACATAAACAAAGACCACTGAATATTGCCAAGAATGTAATTTTTTTCTAAGATGTGAGTGCCAGTAGAATAGTTTCTTCAAATGCAAGCTCACTGCTCATAAGAATTTTATGCTAAATGTGTACTGGCCAAATGGAAGACAGAATTTTTGTCTCTCTCTTTTTAAGCAGATGTTGGCCCACCTTCAGTATTTGATGATTTACACAGACTGAATATATGACAGCAGTTTCACTAATAGTTTTGTTAATATTCTGTTCTGTTGTCTTCCTGCTCTTATTTATGGATGATGACACAGAAAAATGTGCAAAAGTGGAAGTTGCAGTAACACCACCAAGTGATTCAGGACCAGTGCAGAATGGAATCGCCCATAACGTTGAAGAAGAGGTTAATGTCTTTTTAATTTTTATTTTCATATTGGTAATTATATTACATGCTTAATTGTGCTTTTCACTTGAAGTATTCATCTTAATAGCAAGAAGCTGTTAATATGAACTGTCTACAATATGTTGCATCTTCATTTACAAATTAATCCAGTGTATGGTTTGCAATACATACAAGCTCTTCTCTTGTGCCCCTGTCCTTCAGTGTCAGGTAAGATGGTCATCTCGAATGTGTTCGTTTAGGGGATGTATTTTTATTTCTCTGATAAGATGTCCACAGCCCTTAGCATTGCTAACGGGAATTGCTTGTCTGATTGTCATCACACTGCACAAAACCTTTTCTCTTAAGAAAGTAGCCTGGCATGTTGTGCTTAATGGGATAGTTAAAAGTAGTTATAGAAGAGCAGCGGTACACAAACTTCTTCTTTATCCTGCTTTCTGTTATCTTCAGACCAATAACAAATTAAGCTGAATGAGATAAAAGTATACTAGTGTTTCTATGAATCTTATTGCATATGGTTAAAATGTTCAAAAGAAGTAATTAAGCACTTAAATATAATTATTTTAACATACACCTTTTGTAGATAAGGTTGATTTTGCTGAACTTGGGCGCTACTCTTTTAGACTGAGACAGCAAAACCTGCATAGAAGGGGAAAGTCTTGTTAAAAATAATTGTTGACACAGAAGCTTTTATAATGGTTTTGTTTGTACAGTTTACTTCTTAGCCTTCTCCTTAGGCTATGATGACACAAGAAGGGTACTGCAAGAGATGACTGAGCAGTGGTCTCTACCGTAAAATGAGCTTCCCTTTATTAAAAGTGGGATGAACTGTGTTGCATTCACATACAGCAAAATTGTGCAAAAAAGACAATGAGCATGTTTTTATTTGAATCATCCTAGGTTTAGGTTTTGATCTTTTACTTGCTTTTGCTTATTTATCATTTAAGAAAATTGTTAGACTGAATCAGAGATCGTCTTGCCTTCTTCATGACCTGAGCAATATCACTGTAGGTGAAATTCTTTCCTTGAAAGGTTCTGCAAGCCAAAGGAAAAAATTAGATGTACAAGTAATGAAGTGTGTTTATGTCTGTTGACTGCTTCCTAAACACAATTATCTCTCACAAGGAGCATAATTTATACTGAAACATGCTTATAACAGGGGGAGGGTATCCAATTTTTTCTGCAAGACTGGGAAAAAACACTGCAATATATAGTAGGGTGTGTCTTTAGGAAAAGATTCTGTTTGCTTTACACAGCTGGAGGTGGAGAAATGACAGGTGGTTCTGGCCAGCTGGCATGTTAGTGCACCAAATATTGGCAAATAGCTTTAATTCTTCACTGTTTGCAGATAATTTTGGTCTCTAGGAATAGAAATTGAGAATCAGAATCAAGGATCTAAAAGAGATGTATAGTTTTTGATACCCTGAATGATCAGGAATGATGAGTCTCCTATAGAAAGGAGAGCATAGTAGAACATTAAATTACCTTTTCTGTTAATCTGAGTTGTTCAGACTGACATGCCATTTAAAAGATCCTTGTCAGCCCAACAAAGCATTACTCTTACATAAATGAGATAAGCAGAATCTATGTAATAAAAAACATCAGCACTGCACTTCAACACTCAAGATTTTAAGGTAAGCAAAGATTAATTTGCAGATCCATTTGGGTCCTGTTCTAGGAGTCCAAGCTCAGGGCTGCAGTGAAATATGTCTTTAGACTGTTTTTTAAGTTCAGCAAGAAAAATAACAAAATCCAAAGGCTTTTAGACTTCTGTTCTCAAAGGTCAATAAGGAATAGCATAGCCTGGTGTAACCTGTTAGGGTGTATGTAAATCAGTCTGTTGGATATATAAAAACTCTAACAGACATAGAGTTCAGTAGCTTAAGGAAGAAACTGGTCTTGCTTTGTAAGATTTTTTCCACTGGGATTGTTCAGTGAAGACAATGAAGGAAAAGCAATCTTAAGCAATCACATCTCACAGCAATGCCTGTATGCTATCATTTTGCATTGTAATGAAGTAGTTTCTAAGCTAGTTCAGAAATCTGCAAGGTCAAGCTGCCTCATCATTCAAGACAATGGTTTCAATTTCAAGCAACTGCAGGGTAAGGAGGGAAAATTATTGCAAGAGTACATTACTCAGCAATGTCTTCCTGTCATCTCCCTTTAGACATTTTAAACTTTCAGTAGGCAGTGTTTGGAACTTTTATGTTAATTTCAGCAAGTATTAGGACATTCTGAAAAACTATTGTGCTGTATCAGAGGTGGGATACATAATTTATCCTTATCAAAGTGACAAGATGGAGAAAGCAGGGAGATTTGTAACTGATGGAGGAGTGATTCTCCAGATTTAGCTCCTCAGTCTGAAAGAAAGAATTTTAGGTGTCTCCTGTCACAATAAAAAATAGCAATCCCCTAGTAACATTTTGAGATGGCTCATGCTGGGTTCCTCCCCAGTGGGCTTTCTAATTTTGTCTTCTTGCACTGATAATCTGACAGCTGCTGCTATCTCAGGCTGCTTCCATTATTGATATGCTGGAACCTATTTTGTTATTTTAAAGTGTATATTGGAATTTTTGAAAAGTTGTTACAATAATAGTTTACTCATCCATGTAACAAATAAATAGGTCCCTCTCTAGGGCCCTACTTCCCTGTGACTTTCTCTGCCTACTTTGTACTGTAGAGGGACCCTTCCTCAACATATCGCCTAGCTTTTTGTGCACAGCTTCCTGATACACCTTCCCAAGGTGTATCATCACTCTAAAGCTAATACTGGGCTGTTCAGTTTCCTTCTGCTCTGTATATTGACTTCATGTGTACAAACAGGATTACTCCTGATTTATACAAGTGTAGGCAATGACAGAATCACACACACAGCATTCATGTGACCTTTTTCTCTGGTGAAGATTAGAATTTGAGGAAGGGAAATTGCTCATTGCCCTCCCAAGCCTTCTTTCTAGCCTTTCCAAACTTTATGCAGACACTACGTAGCCCTAGGAAATAGTATATCTTCAAAGACAACGGTATCAGTTCTACAAGCAGGAACTCTGTCCAGGAAAGTAATACTGAAGGCATAGGATAGTATGCCAGATAGTTCTCATCAATAGTTTCTCCTTCTCTTTCAAAAACTTGCCCATTAAAGCTAAGCGACAAGAACAAACTCATTACAGCTTAGTCTTGACCTACAAATGCTCTTGAATTTTGATCTTTCTGTGAACAAGAGTTCTTCATTTTACACAAAGAACATTATTTGCATCTGTTCCGTGAGTAGAATTGAATCTGGCAGTTTGAATTTTTGATTATTTTTCCTTACTCTGATGCAAAAGGAGGTGCTGTAATGTCAGAATGTGGAAATATAGTATAAAATTACTTCTCTCCAATTTGCCACTTGCTTATGTCCAAAGATACAGTTTTGTGATCCATAAGCACTGGATCATTAAGAAAACCTACCATTAGTGCCTCCATGTCCCAGTGATGATCATTTACAACTGAGAAAATTTGAGACACTGTTTGCTGTGAGGAACCAAGCTCTGCATACACCTCTGGGGCAAAACCTGTGGTCCTGAAAACTGTGAGCTAGAAAATGGGTATACACACATAGCAGGTCATCAAGTACCCCTAGAACATGTTTGCAGTGAGGATATAAAAGACATGCACAGGGATCTAATTCTTTCTCCTCTACTGTCAAGTTCCACTAGTAGAAAGAGAATATCCATCTTACTTATAAACCCTCTGTTCTTTTAAAAGTATGATGCTGAGCAAAGGACCCTTGTGAAAGGAAGGTCTCAGGCAAAGACTGCAAGAAAAGGGGAACAAATAGCTTTTTTGTTGTATTTTAATTTTCATATACTTGTAAATTAAATGTTTTTTTAAAAAAAGCAAAATACTCCAAAAGTCATGATTTAGTTTTCCCTATACTTCTTCTGGTTTCTTACAGGTTTTTTTGTAATCTTTATATTTTTTCCAGACTTAAGTTCTTTCCTCTTTTTCTTCTTTTTCAATTGCATAAGGCTGAAACACTACACAAAACAGAGGCAAGGACACTGTCAGTTAGTGACTTTCACAAGGTTTCATGAACTAGGTGAATTTCATTTTATTACCTTTTCCTTTTTTTTTATTTTTTTTCTTTTAATTTCTTCATTTGTCTCTTCCAAACTCTACTGTCTTCCTTTCACATTTTTGCCAGGGCCTTAAGCCCATTCTTACTCCACTTTCCTCCACGGAACCTCAGTTTTCCTCTTCCTAGCCCAAGCCCTAGAGCAACAAGATAATCTCTGTCCTGATGCTGCTTGCAGAAATTCAAAAAGACTTTCCAGAAAATACCCCCAGCAATTTGTCCCACATAGCAAGAGTCATAAAATCCCACTCTGACTGTAAGCAGCAGCAGATCTCCTACACTTTGATAAAACTGGTATCCCTCCCTGAGAAGGACAGATAGCTGTGGTCTCCTTCCCAGTCTCCCGAACCAGCACAGGGAACAATGGCTCCTCCCACCATATGGTCTGTAAGACGTTTGTGCTTTATTTACAGCCAGAAATTGCCTTCCCTCCTGCTGGATATTGCAACTTCCTCAGGGATTTTGTTCTAGTTATGGCATTCTGTCTCTTAACCTTTAGCAGGTTGCCACAAAGGAGAAGACTGTTATATAAAACTTCACAGAGTGGTACCAAGCGTGTATGAGAAAATGAAAGAAGACTAAAAGGCTGAAAGACAGTATCTCATTAAATGTTTTATAAGGTGCCCTTTAGAGAAATCATCCTTCTGGAAAGTCCAATTGTCTCTCCTCCTCCCCTGCCATCTTCTTAACAAGCATTTGATTAACTGTGTTCAGTCACAGTCATTTTAACCTGTAGCTTTCCTAAAAATAGCTTCCAATCTGAAGATAACACCTTTTCCTCCCACCTACACACAGACACACATGCACACACATGCACATGTACACATGTGCACACTTTTACCTGCTTACGTGGAAACCCCCTGGAAAATGTTTACATACCAACCATGTC